TGCTTCTTTCTCTACTTGAGGGTATCGTCATTTTCCTCAAATCTGTAATTATTTGGAATATATATTTTGCGCTGCATCACCTCACAGATATTGTTTGTTTTTTTAAACGGCTGAGCTAGTTTGTTTGTCTAATCGGCACGTTCGGAAACGAAACCCTTGCGTTTTCAGTTTCTCTACAGGCATCATTTTCCTCTACATCACATTTATTTTAGATATATATATTATATATATTATATAGAAGTATAATATAGGCAGTGGCAAGCAATGAAATCGAGTCTGTCAGACATGAAATGGTTAAAAGAAAGCGTATTTCACATAGCAGGTATAGCAGGATATACAGGTATTTCCGCATATAAAAGGGTATGCCATATTCTACCCGCCATCCTAATGCTCCTCCTGCGGCATTTGCGAGTGGGGCACTCTGATCCAGGTTCGCACAGGTGGCACTTGGAGTGGTGACACCGCTGTATTCGTGGACGTGTCCTCCTGCGAGCTTTGCCCTCGTTAGCTCAGCACGCTGCAGTTGCAGCTAGCCGGATATCTATATATAGCCAACTGGTGTGATTTTGATTCATGGCGCGATTATATGTGCGCACGCAGTTTATCTTCTTTTCTTATTTCTCTACGGTTTTTCCTTATTTCTTCCTCTGACCAGCAGCACAGTAGCATTGGCCCAGCATGAAGGCCTGAAATCCGAACACTTTCTGGAGGAGCTCCAAGCGGCGCGCTGTTCCTGGATCCTCCGATCCTCCGATCCCCCGATCCCTCGCTCCGCCGTTGCCCCTTGCTTGTGGCACTTAACATTTTATTGTTAATAAAATATATTACAAGGCGCAATACAAAAGGCCAACCGGGCTGCGAGCCGAGCTCTCTGTCTGCTTTCAGGCCCAAATGCGTTAACGAAATCATCCACCACATGCTCGGCCCCTTTCCAGATCTTCTCCAGGTGGAGGCCCCTCGAACCTCCGCCCCTGGGAATGTCGCGTGAGTTCGTGTCGTACATTTAACGCGTGACTCCTTTTGAAAATTGTTCATAAATTTTGCGTTTAACAGTAGCAGAAAGGCAACGGCAATGCCAGCAAAAAAAAAAAAGAAAAGACCCACTAAAGTCAGTCGAATACAAGATCGTTGAAGGCTGTGGCCGAGGAATTGGGTAACTGAAATTATCGCAAATCGGAAACTGAGTCTGCAGGCTAACATTGATGCCCTTTAAGGTATAGATAGACTAAATTATTAGCATAATATAGTTCGTAAAACAACCTTTTTTCAACTATGAAGATTTCTGTAATTAAAATGTCTAACATAGTGTTCTTTCTGTTTTATGAGAACTCCCAGCAACCATTAAATTGTAGAGTACTCTGCATATGCGACAAAGGGCATTCCATGTCCGCCATTTGGTGGCAAGTCAGCGAAAATGATTTCACAAATCCGACAGATGCCACGAACCCGGACCATGGCGACAAAAAAAAAGAAAGAAAAAACTCTCTCGCCGAGAAAATGAATTACTGAATCAGAAAACTTATCGATTCGCTGCCTTTCGCTCATTATAATGCATATACAATATGTAGACTCAGAAATTTATGCGACCAGTCGAGTATTTCTAATTAATAACACACAAAATGTAATCAGCAATGTTAATTAGGCACATCCGCTGCTCGATTCATTCAGCGTTGTCACCTCCACTCCACGCTCGTTTCATTCATAAAAATCCGACAGAGACTCTGTCACAGTTTTCGATTCGGATTCGGATTCGACTGATGCCCACATGTCCCAATGTTTTTGGCTGGATTTGCATAGTTCGTAAGCAAAGTCAAGTGATCGCGGCTGCTGTAGTAAAACAGGCAGTACCAAATCGTTAAAGATTCAAAGCTTTTAGCCCGAGAATTGCCAAACCGGTTTGCCGGTTATGAAACTTTTTCAGTTTCAGCGGCTGTGTGTTTTTGCGGGGTTTTTGTTTTTCGAGTTTTGGTGAAGTTTTATGAATGAAATAGCGTAAAATTTGCATTTGAAACACGTGAAGTACTACTCAAGATTACTCATACGCCCCGTGAACTTTGGCAAAGAAATAGCGATTCAGTGTTCCTGGGGAAACGGCTGATTCCACTGTGAATCAACATTTCACTGACAGGTGCGCCAAACTGATTCATCTGCTTGGCTATTCAAATAAGCAATTTGAATTATTATTAATTTATTGTTTCCGGTGCTATTCAGTTTCGAGTGTTGTTGCCAAGCTCAGAGCGATAAATAATGTATCTATAGAAGTGCAAACACATCTAATGCTTCAAGCACTTGTCAAACCTTGCCCCCTCCATGTGTTTGTCCCATTCCATTGAAGTATCCCCACAATATGGCGCCAATTATGTCGGTGGCGAAATGATACCTCAGCTCGCCTGTTCACCCTGATATCTGCCTTCGGTCCGCCTTTCCAAACAAAAAGCCCCAAGACGAGGTCAAACCCAAGCTGTGCAATCGACCAACTGACTGACTGACTGAATGACGGCCACGATCTGGACGATCGACGTTAGACAGGCAATTTGTAGACTTTTAAAATAGTTTCAAATGGAACCCAGACAACCAGCCAGCCCGCCAACTCCACCAGACAACCTGTGCGCTGTCCGATCGCCAGAAACGATTGACCACAGCAAACACAACAATAAGGATTCGATGCACTGGCAAGCCGAGGGTTCTAATACTCTTACATGTTATGAACTTGTTGAAGAATCAGGTTTAGATATTTTATAATCGATAACTGAATCATTAGTTTCGAACCATAAGGCAGAACGTAGTAGTAACGTACTACTTTACTTTTTTATTCTGTATGCGAGAACTACTTCTCAATTATAAGATAATGTATCCTTAAGATTAATGTATCCCGTTTTACACAAGCAAGACGCCAAAGTTGTTTAGGCCAACATTCAGTGTTGATTACTAGCCAACTAACTCGGAGTAAGTTTTGATTACATTTTTAGAAATCAGAAAGATTGCAAAATGGCCAAATGAAATAGGAAAATTCCTTTACAACATAAATGAAATGAGAGTATAGTACAATGTCTACCTTTTTCAATAAATTTCCATTTATTTTGTATTGAAACAAGGCAAAGATGCCACCGAAGTCGATCACATGCCTGATACCACATCTCGTATCCCCCCTGAAAGAGCAAAAGGCGCATGCAAATTAATAGCCAACTGTGGCCGAAAAATTAATTGATCACTCGAGACAGGTAACATTGCTGAGATTGCAGACCAGCCCAGACTTATAGTCTTATAGACCCGACAATCGATCGATCGACGGCCGGCTGATCGCCGCGAATTAAGTTGGTGCTGGTGGTAAGTGCCCGCATACTCGGGCTGATCGCAGACTTCCTGAGGTAGCTGGCTCGATTAGGCTGGTGAAATGTAGCATGTTTTCCATGGTTCCATGGACAAATTTCAATTAACATATTCACGCAATAATTGCAGGGGTCTCCAAGCGGCCCACGTCTCTTGTGGCCGGCCAGTGAATAGAAAAAGCCACCTACGCCCGAATCCCCAAACCCCAAACCCCGAGCCCCAATCCCGAGTCCCGAATCCCCAGCAGACACGTGTCAAACTTCCGATCATTAGGAGAAGGCGGGCGCTCATCGCACCACGCCCACTCGCACCGCTGGAGGGGCCTAATTAATAAACAGACAAAACAATTTTACTTTTATGGCCCTCGAAGATGGAAAACACTCGAATTGATAAATTATCGAAATGCAGTTTAGCGTGTGCCTTGGACAAAAAGATATTGAGATTAATCACTGGACCAGGCCGCTCGTCATCATTCGATCGGATGCGTTGGCGGTGCTACGCGGTAATGCCGCCTAATTAATGATTGCCACGCTCGGGAAGAGTAAAGGAAAATCGATGTCGTTGTATAATCCAGTAGGTCACTGGAAAATAGAAACAATAAAAACAAAGGCGGCCCATGATGAAATATTTGACAATTCGAGACGGTGGTGTTGCACGCTAAATCAGAAGCGCTTATCATGTCTCCAAATGCCAACAGCTAAACGCTCCTAAAAGTTGTAAGACAGCAAAGTACATCAATTCTTGGGTTTGGTAAAATATCACTACTTTTGCCTTTACTTTAACTGGTAGCTATGTAATATAATTGCAAATAAATATAGCTAAAAATTGATGAGCAGTTTAAGTAGCAATTCAACAGACTCGACCGAAGTTCCCAATTAACTAAGACTCAATAAAAATATGCCCACGTGTGCATCACAACGGGTTAATCGGTGAATAAATATCCCAGGCAGTATCAATTCAGACTTCTGTTGGCTTCCACACCCACACCCAGTCGTGGCAATTGCCGTTGATCTCTGGCTTAGAGCGGCTCATAATCAAGACACAAGTTTTAATTTAAATTTGCCCCAATGCCCATTTATCTCACAAGTATCAGGCCCACAGTGTTGCAAGATCTTTGGCATCGCATCGCTGTGCTGCACACAGATCTAAGTCGGCCAACTTCAGGCCGCCGGCGCAGCGGGCGCAGCTCATTGCGAATACCCCACCGAATAAAGCGGACACTCCACAAATCTCCCGCAATTACAATACTTTACAAACATATTTTTCGTCTCCCCAATGCGGCGGGTCTTGTATTATCGCCTAATTGCATCGTCGACGCTCGTGGCATTTAGCGCGTCAACAAACGAGCCGCCGCCGCGACCCCAAACCCAAAGATACCCACCCCCAGCCCCTTAATCCGCTCACACCTCGGCAGCGGTTCGCAGCTGAAAGATGGAAATAAAAACAAAAATACCATATATAAAAGGAAAAAACCAAAAACAACAGAGTGGACCGCAGGCCGTTCCATTCATCATTTTTCGTTTAGTGACGCGCGTGCCTCGTGCGCCTCAAATCGAGTGTTATTTTTTTCACAGATTTTCAAATTGAGACGTCATGATCTGCCCGTCGGTGCCATAGGTTCCATCGGTGCCATCGGTTATGCTTAGGTGTACCATCATTTTTCGTTGGGATTCGTGTACAACATTTATTGTTTCATAAGGCACTGCGGCATGCAACTAACGCTAGATAGAACATTGTTGTGTGCTTAGGGGCTACGAGTATAATTTAGCGAGTATAAAACTGCGAATACTACAAAGATCAGTACAATATGAAATACAACAGCAGTACAACCGAGCCTTAAGCATAACTTAGTACTACGCATAAACTAGTACTTGTTTTATAATGTATCTTAAATAAATTCTAAGCTAGAAGTAATTCGAGCAGCTGCTTGTTTTTGGTTTTACGCCTTTGGTGCAATTTTGTTAAAATGTTTAAATGATAGTTTTATATGTACATAAATTCGAGTGTAGTACGATTTATAGGATTTTCTTTGTAAGCCTTAGATCTTTCGAAGATTTTTTAGGATTCACCTTAAAGTGTTAAATGGGACATTGTCGATTGAACCCGTTTTCCATAATCTCTAGTTCACAAATTAAGCGGCCATTGACTGCGGTTCAAAAACCGGGCTTGAATTGCTTGATCTCCTCTAAGGATCCGTGGGATTCCTAGTTCGTTTAATAGTTACACCACTTCTGCAGGTTGTCCGCTTCATCTTCCTCCTCATCGCTCGTCGAGGGCGGTGTGTCCAGATTGGCGATGTCCACATCGAGGTAGTCCTCCTTCGCCTGGAGCAGCTTGTCCATATACTCGACGATTTCCGTAAAGGGTGGCCGATCGTCGGCGTTGAAGTGCCAGCATTGCCGCATCAGGATGTAGATGTTCATGGAGCATTTCGCAGGCTTCTCCATCCGCTGACCGGACATCAGATAGGTGTACAGCTCCTCCGCGGACATGATAGTTGGATATGGCTGTTGCCCATAGGTCATGATCTCCCACAACAGGATGCCATATGACCAGACATCGCTCTTGGAGTCGTAGAATTTCTCCTGCAGTGATTCCGGTGCCATCCATTTGATGGGTAGCCTGCCATTCGTGTTCTTCCTGTAGTAGTCCGTGCTTTGGATATCCCTCGCCAGACCGAAATCGGCTATCTTCAGCACATAATCATCGCTGACGAGCACATTCCTGGCTGCCAAGTCGCGATGGATGCATCGCCGCGAGGCCAGATAGTCCATTCCTCTGGCAATTTGGTGGGCAAACTTGATCAGATCCTTCTCGGTAATCACATGAGCTGGTGGCGATGGAGGCGGCTGCGAACAGTCCCTATCCGAGTCCCTGCCTAAAGGTCGATTTTTGTAGAGGAAGTCCTTGAGATTGCCGTGTGGCGCATACTCGACAATCACGTAGAGTGGCCCATTCTGACTGCAGCAGCCGAGCAGGTTAATAATGTTTATGTGACGGCCAATGATCTTCATCACTTCCATTTCCCGCACCAAGCTGGCAATATCGTCATCCGTGTGGCCTTCCTTCACCATTTTGACGGCCACAATGGCATTGTTGACCTCCGCCATGACCACTCGTCCGAAAGCACCTTCTCCCAAAGTGGCACCCAATACCAAATGGCTTCTGGGCAGCTCCCAGTTCGAGTCCAGTGGGAATTCGTATTCGTTGAAGGGAGCCGGCTCGTTGCCATTTTGAAGGACGGTAGTGCGCTGTTTCTGTATCCTAACCACCGGCATGATCATGGTGTCCATGGAACCGCTGGAGTCTCCGCCACCTTCGGGCTTGAAGATGATCACCTTCTTGGTCCACTGGTGAACGGTTTCTATGCGTTGTTTCAGCACCTTTTCATGCTTCATTTTCCGGATGGCATAGAAGACAAACAGGGTGGTCATAAAGATGAAAATGAGGCCGCCGAAGGCGAAGATGTACACGAAGCTGGTGGAATGCAGTGAACCACTGGCCACACCGGCCTCCAAGACGTGAAGACTTCGCACCACTCGCAGATATGCAGTGCTATTGGATTGGCCCAGGCTGTTGCTTTCGACGCATGTGTACCAGCCCTCCTGCTCCATCCTAACGTTCACAAAGTCCAACTGATCCTTATCCTCGGCAATGATGGATCGATTGTTGGAGCAGTTGCCCATCCCCTGGCAGGGCACAAAGATCCACGCCTTCTTGCTGGTCAAGTCCGACAGATACTTGCAGTGCATGCTGCCTGTGGAGTTGACCACAAGTGTGAGATTCAATGGGCCGGTCATCAGGATCGGCTTGTGATTAACTCGATCGCTTACAATCACCTGGGTGTCGTGACGAATGCAGCCCAATGAGTTGCACACCTTGCACGTGTAGTTGCCACAATCGCCCGGCACCAGGTCCTCCATGGTCAGGGTCCATCGATTCCGCTTCAAGCTGCCATAGCCGCGTGTCCAGTCGACGGTTCCATTGCGGTACCAGGTGATATTGGGTTCCGGATTGCCCAGGGCATGGCAATTGAGTGTGAGCAGTGAGCCCGAGGGCCGCGTCTGCAGGAAGCTCATCTTCTTGGGATTCCGCCAGTAGGGTTTCGAGCTGACATTCACCGGCAAATCGGCCTTGTTGTCATCATCATCCGCGGCAGCATCATCCAAATCCGCCGTCGCAGTGGTTGATTGATTAGCATTGCTCGTGTTGGCTGGTGTCTTGACTTGACTCCTGGCTCCCACATTATCCTTGATCATCTCCTGGCTGTTGGCCATTTGGCGCCGTCCTTCAACGTGCACGGCTGGCTGCCAAATCGAGAGGAACAGGAACAGCACCACCAGCGATCCGCTCGTCATTGTGATTGTTGAGTGACTGGCTCGCCAACTCCGGGAGTTGGCAGCCATTTCTGGGATATTTATTTTTGTAACTCTTGCCGGCAGGGCAGCACCCTCAATGCAACTGGATGTGCAACTGCAACTGGATGTGCAACTGCAACTTCAACGGCAACTCCCTTGTCGGAGTTTTGTCGCATGTGCTGCTTGGTTTTTTATTCACCGGAAATCCACTTTAGAGTGCTTCGCTCTCTCCCTCTTTCGCTTGCGCCGGAAGAAGATCGGTGATCTTCTAGTTTCTAATTTATAATGGAAACAACAACTGCAACAGTGGCCTCTTCAGTGCAACATGTGTGCCTTTGAAGTGATCCCCCACTCCGCTCCACTCCACTCCACCCACGATTGCAATCGGATGCTGTTGATGATGAGGCCGAGATGATCCTCTCGATGATCACCTATCTCTCGTTGGTGTAACGGAAATACTTTCCCCCAAAACAATGCCGCCCGGCTCTTCTACTTATGGGGGGAGATGGCTGCTCGTGTGATGTACTCAGTGGGTTGATGGATTTATGGCAGCCATCTTGTCACCAAAGGAGCTCCACTCGTGGGCGTGGATGACGGTGGGTTCCATAGATCACTCGCTGGCTTCTGGAGGGTGGATTCCTCGGATCGTGTTTGATGTGACTGCTGCAACACCTGAAAGAATGCACGCGGTTAGATTTATGATCACATTGGGTACATTAGTTTAGGTAAATGCTTAAAAAACTTTCAAAGACACAAGAACAAGTGCAAAAATAAGTGGGGAATCGGAAGTGTACTGGATACATCCGCTCGATTTCTTTGACTCAATAAATTTCCTTTCTATTTTGTTTATAGGCTCATTCACTTGGGTTGTGAGTAAACTTTCGGGTCTTTCGCAGAGATTCATTTTGGTCTTGACTCGATTAAAGGCCATTTCCATTTGGCGAACTTAATTAAAATGTCGCGCACATTTCCGGTAACTTGTTCAGCATTTCTCGTATACCCGTTTCTGATTTTTGTCCAGCGCGTGCCATAAATTAAAAATGGTCCAGAGGAATGAGCTCAGAATGTGCGGCACATATAACAACAAATACTCAGGTTTTTCATCTTTTACGCGTTGCATATTTTATCGATCTTCAAAATAGCTTTATGGCCACACAAAAATGTTTCGGCTGGCACTCTTTAATACTGCCATAAAATAACGAACTGTCTTTTCGTTTACCTTTTTGGCGAGGGAAAACTCTTTTCAACTTGATGTCAGATTACTTTACGACGGCATTCTATATATACACTGCGCCCTCAAATGTGGTTCTATTTTTCGCACAACTCACTCACGTTTTTCCGATTTTCTCGAGGGGTTGCGCAGATCTGTCTGCCGACTTTTGCGCTTTTCGAAACTGTGAATTTTCACGGAGCAAAGCGAAAAACTGTTCCAAATTGGTCCGCGTAGTCCGATGTACTGAATATGCCCAATGCCAATTCCGATTCCAATTCTACTGGTGATCGCGACGCTTCTCTACCTCTCTCATTTCTCCCACACTCACTCTCTCTCTTTCTCTCACCATCTCTCTCTCTCTCACACAAATGTCCTACGCAATGCGCCGGCGTCGGAAAAGGCGACTCAATTTAGTGGGCCCTCGAGTCGCTTCCACTTTTGCCGTTAAATTTCCAATGCCCATACCCTGTATTGCTAGGGCGCGTGGGGTATGTGGGGTATATGATCATGAGTGCACCATATTAGGAACCATAGTGCGATACAAAACATCCCTTTTGCACAGATCACTTTTCAATTATTAAATATATCATATAATGCATAGGTTTGTTCTTTCTGTTTAAAGCATAATGGTTATGATGGAATGGTTATGATATATATAATTATAAAGGACCTATATCTATACATAGTTTCTTTAGTATAGAGCTCACCACATAGAGCTCATTTATCAGCATAGCTTAGTTCGTTCAATTATATATTCTTTTGTCTTGCAAATTTTATGTTTTAGAGCAATGTTGTTGAAATGCCAGGTATGCTATAGTCAATAAATGACAGACTCGGTTTTCCAATCGTGTTGCGGTTCTGTTTGGATGGTCGTTGCCTTTAGCGTCCCGCATCTTTTCGCTTTCAACGGCAGCCTTAATTTTCCACATATGCCAGCCCCGTCTCCCTTTGCATCTGAGTATCTCAGTATCTCTCAGTTTGCCGCGAGTATTACTCTCATCTTTAATTAAAACAGACACAGTTTCGCCCGACGTTCTGGTTCTGATCTCTCCAGTCGCATTCAACATTCAGCCCACATCTGGCGGACAAAAAATTTAAAGAAATTAAAAGCAACAAAAATAACGGCCGGAGAGACGCAGACTACTGTGTTCAGTTGTCTCTGTTCTCCCGCCCCCCGGGCCACGCCCACAGTCAGAGTCGGAGACAAGGGCAAATATTGTTTCGGCTTGCATTTGGTGCTCTATTGTTGACTGCAACATGTGGGCACATCATCAGCATCGAACACACACGCGTGCGAGTGCGAGTATAGTACTGTGTATGTCTACCTAAGATCGTGCCACATGTGTTGCACAGACATTGTCGCCGGTTCTCGAGGGGAAGTCGAGACCCGACTCCAGCGAGAGAACGATGGGGTTATCCAAAATGTTGACTTCCAGGAATGCATCCGCCAAATCGGAAACTGCCAAAAATTGTATATATATATAGGTCTCGCATCGCTATCTCCCTCCGACCTTCACCTCCATCGATAAGCAGCGCGCAATTTTAGTATATTTCCTGTGCCGTCCAAAATCGGTGAGTATAAACAAACACGTTCCGGAAAGTATTTGCAAAGTATACAAACATTTCGCGCTGAATTTAAGCTGCCGGTCACTTGGCGCATCCATTTCAATCGCACGGGTTGACCCGCAATTGACGCACTTGGTAGCCCCGCCGCCGCTCAGTGTATCCGCTACCAAGTGGAGACCGGCACGAGTCTGTTATTTCGCACGGTTCGTCGGCAGGTTCCACAAGCCACTAGCCACCAGCCACCCAATCCATCCATCCAGCCATCCATTCATCTAGCATATGCGATTCAGTACGTGACGGCGAGAAGGTTGCCTCCCATGGGGGAAGCGAGATGAAGCAGATGGAGCAAAAGGTCGATTGTGGTAAGCCGACTTTATCAAAAAGCAGAGCTACGTTAAGTCACAATGTTATTATCACAATGTTTACCAGTGGAGAATATTCGATTTGATTTACAATTCAGCAACATAAAGCACGCACCACCAACAGAAAGAACGATTTTTTTTACCAAGTTCTGATATTCTTCAGTAAAAGTTTAAATAAAAAATAACTAAATTGCAGCAATCACTTAAAAAAAGAATTTGTGTTTCTGACCCTTGATATTTGTTGATAACATTTTGAAATCGAAATGCAATATAATACTGCTGCAGCATTAAATAATTTATTATATTAACAAAAAAAAAAAAAAACAGCTCCCATTATCATTATCACTTATTGTTAAAAAACCTAATTTTTCACTTATAACTCAAGTGCTGACACTTGGAATGAATATATCAAGAGTTAATAAACACAGATTAATTGACCCCAGCTCACTAAGCAATTAATACTATATAGAGCTCTTATCTAAAATGTTAATCACGTTTAAATATAACACATAAGCATATACTTTCGTTGCATTCGTTCTTGAAAACCTTAAAAGATCAAAGGACCATCCCGAAGGTCTTCGGTGTTCCCACCTGGGATCGGATCGGAACAATACTGGGAACTGGCCGCACAATTAGCTAAACAAACCTAACCTTAATTATCATTCATAAATAAAATTGCAGACCGGGGAGGAGAAAAGTAAGGAGCGTCGGTTGTCGGCCAGCAAATTGAGTGATTGCCAAAGGCAACAAAACAGAAGCCGAAACACCGAGAAGATGGCATCGTAAAGCTTCCCGACCGACAAAACAGATATCCGATAAATATACACACAGATAGCTATATCTTTAGTTACATATATACTCACAGATATAGAGCAAGTCGGACAAAGAGCAGACAAGTTGAAATGTTTGTTTATGCGGCTAGAAAATATTGCATGTTCCTATGCCGTCTAGAATCTAGAATCTAGACTCTAGATGCTAGATGCTGTTGGTTAATAAACAAAAAATCTCACTCTAAGGGAGCGGTAGAAAATAACAGAATTATGAGTTTGAAATATTTTCCGGGCTCTGGGGCATCAAGCCAACTAAAAGCAAATAAATAAATATAAATTAGAATGGGAACCCTGTGGAAAAGTGCTTTCAGTTTGAGCAAGTACCATAACAGAACCGAACAAAATAAAAAATAAAAACACATTCTATGGGGCTTGGGAGCCCACAACTGGCCATATTCACTGTGCAATGGGGCAGCCAGAGAATAGATAATTGAACGATTGACTACACACACAGCGGGATAAACGACACAAATTGCTTTGGTTCACCAACATGGAACCACTGCACATTTTACACTTTTTGGCCTTTGGGTGAAAAGTCAAATTGCTGTGCGCGGTCAATCAAAAAGTAGACCAAACAAATAATTTGCGCAATTACGCAAAAAAGCTAAATAATTATATAACTAAAATAAGCGATGCAAGGCGTGTATTTTGAAAGACTTACCTCACAAAGTGCGTTGCTCCACGAAAGCAGAAAACAAAAAGCTTCTTGCCAAATAGCCCAGTATCCAAAGTGTCTCTGCGTTGGAATTTCTCCTTGCCTTCGTCTAAATTGTAAGTGTTTCACTAAGAACACAATTGGAAAAGTTCACAGAATTCGAGAATGTTTCCACTTAAAATTCCTGAAATGTTTTAGTACGCATTTATATGGCACTTAGGCACTAAAACAGAAGCAGAAACTGTTGCACACTTGGCTCTGGTTTGTTTCTTTCCATCCACAACATGTGTGTTTTCACCGAGAGTCATTTCTAATTATTATTAGTATAATTATATGGCGATAATCTCCGATCGATCGATCGATCGTTCGCTCTACTTTTTTCGCCGATTTTCTTCCGATTTTCCAACGATTTTCCTCCGATTTCGCCTACTGTAACGGCACGCAGTCCGATCGCAACTGAGTCCAAAAGCAAGCGAACCGAACAGAATCGAGCCAGCTCTGCGAAATAAATCTCTTCAATTAAATGAGGGAACAAATGAAACGAATTCACATTCCCCCATCAACATCCACATGCTGGAGAACACATCTCTGCAATGTATTTTCGCGGCAGGCGCGTAAACAAATACAGAAAACACACAAAATTGAACGGAACGCCAGCCACACATTGTATAATCCCCAGCGAAAGAGAGGAAGGGTCGAAAAAAGCGGTATATGGTACTATAGTATATGGTATAGGGGCTATACCCTATATAGGGGATACACACATGTGTGTATCTGAGTGGCGGCCTTCCCTTGGAAAGTGAAATGTAATTGAGTGCACAGACCGCACTCGTTCTAAATTCGTTCAATTGAGTCGAATGGAATATCTCAAAGATATTCAGCGACACAATGTGTTGCATAGTTTCGAGCGCACTGGGGAAATTCATGAATTTCATTATGAGGGTGCCAAGAACTTCCTTATGGTAAGGTCTATATAATAGTATTAATCATTTTGCAATAACACTTTCAATCCGATATAGCGTTCTCTCTTGTTTAATAATACATTTTTATAATAAAGAATAGCTAACTAACATATTCACTACGATTTCTGCTGAATAATTCATTTTTGGATTCGGTTAAAATGTTTTACAAATATTTATTATTGTCTATAATAAAGACAACAACCACTGACAAATTCTTTGCCAGATTTTTGTCAGAACCCAATGCATTTCTTCGAGATTCGTTAGAGGTGGAAAATGCGGAATGGGATACATTAGCCGACACAATAGCCCGCTAAGTAAGTTAGCAGTTATTAATTATGAGCTACTTATAGCCAATATAAAAGCCCTAAGCCACATCAGAACCAGTAGCCAAGTAGCGTTGGAAGAAAGCCCCTCTAATGAATGACACTCGATGAGAAAAGGCCATCAAAGCACACACGCTGTGCGCCAAAGACAATGGCATCGTTTAGCGTTTAGCGTTTGTCTCTATGGAGACCCAGAAACAACGAAAGGGGTTAGCCAAACAATGGGCTGCGAAGGGGATTTTGGCCGAAAATCGAAAACAATTAACGATTATTGACCATCAATTGTGGCCGAAGGGGCCCGCTCTGTGCCAAATGGCGTTACGCCTGACTGATTAATTGATGCTCCCCGGAATGGGAGGATCCCCATGAGTGGTTAGCATAGCTTCAACAGTTAACAACCTCGTAAAGTCGCAGAGACCCGGGGAAAGCTCGGGTTAAAGACAGCCAACGACCAGTGTGTATGGTCATAATACTTAAATTTTATGCACTCCTGGGCAATCCTCCTGGCTCCACCTGGCTCCTCCTGGCTCCTCTTGGCTTCCAAAAGTGCTCCTCCTCGGGGCTGCCGATCGCAGCTTTAGCTTCCGTATGGCTTTTCAATTTGGCCAGAACGGAACGCAAGTTGTTAGCGTTTCGAACATAGAAATAAATATGGGGAAATTGGCTCAAAGTCTGGTCGGTCGAGCCTTTGGCCATTTGGCTCTGGGAATCCGGGAATGGGAAATGAAAAATCGGGAACGGGAACAGGCTTTTGGAGACACGATCTTCGAGTTGGGCGACACGATCCGCAACCAACTCGCTGCTCGCAGAGATCTCGTGCAGAGCAGCCAAACAGCATAAAGTTAATTGCTAATATGATTAATTGCACATTAACATGAATTTTTATAGCCAATTATATGCGAAATATGCCAATGAGAAACGCTTTCGACCGGCAGATTAAACACCCAAAAAATAAGGAAACCAAATCCTGTGGATATCTGCTGCTTATTCAGGTGCAATAGGTAAATAGATGGGCTATTTCAGCTGTCAATGAATATAAGGAAGAGCTGTATATTCAAAAGTGCTAGGTAACTTGGGAAATCAATTAAGTTATAGGGTATGCTGGGAAAGTAGCTCAAGCAGGACATAAATTGTATTCTTTGAAATTCAAATTGAAATGAATGAAACATGGTTCAATGAGCAATTTGAGCACATATGCACTGAAGTAGTTGAGCCTGCTCTTGGCACACAAAACATTGATTCACCTCTGCTTAGAACCAAAACCCGCTAACAAAACCAGACCAATTCCATGGCTGAGCCGATGTCGATGATAATTTATGCATAAACTATGCGTGGCAATTTGGCATCTTCGCAATCCAAACCGAGTGGGCTGCTGGCAGGCGGAATTATGCGGGTGTGTTTGCATTTGCCACAAGAGCAGACAAATGGCAAAATAGCAAAATAGCAAAAATAAATAAATGCAAATGCAATAAGCCCCGAGACAAGCGGAAAACAAAAATCAAAGTGCAAGAAAAAAATCCAAATCAAATTTCCAATCACTCAAAAACTATTGGAGATTCGAATTTGAATGTGAATTATTGGCTCCACCTTGCCCGCGCCGCGCCATTTCCGGTCTTAAATCTTTGAGCGCGTGAGCTAATCATAACTTACAATGTGGTCCGGCAATTTGACAGGCGGGTTGCCCGGGCGGTTGGCCTTCTTCGCTGGCTCTTTAGCTTTTGGCTTGCTCGGGCCCAGTTGGCCTGCCACAGAGATAGCAGTTCGGGTATCCAAACGGAGGATCATGGATCATGGATCGCAGCGCTTTGGGGCTCGGCAAGCTGTGCGAGCTGTCAATGAACTTGTATGCTCTTGATTGATTTATATTGTGCTGGCTGGATGATGTATCTCTGGATCTGTAGTAAATCAGCTTAAGCAGCCCGGCGATCGTTGATATCTTGCTCTTAACACGACGCTCGAACGGCTGGAAAACAAGCGCACAGAAATCTCGAGTCGAGTCGAGTCGGCGAATCTAATGAAAGGTGTATTAATTATATTAGATATTCCCAGCAACACGATCTTCCCTGTTCTTGGCTACTGTTCGCGTTCTCGGCCTGAAAGTGGTTTTGTCTGTACGTTTTCTGTTCCACCAAGGGCCTTAGCCTGCGTCGCGGTCTAGGCCATAATTTAAAGCTGGCTCTTTAGACAGGAGGGGGGCCAGAGCAGGAAAATGGGCTGGGGCGGCTAAAACTGGCGCTTAAAAGTGCGTTTAAACAGACCTTTCGGCCGGATTGGGCTTGGCGCGCGGGCGTGGCCTTTATATTCCCTGGTTTTTAGCCCCGGTCCCCATAATCCCTAATAATAATCATGTGCTGTAATTGACGATTTATGCTAAGCCCGATATAATTTACGCCGTTGGAAACACTGGAGCCTCACCTCAATCCGCTGAGCAGGAGGCGGAGAAGGAGTATCGCATAAATCATAACTGCACCTGGGTTGGCAAAAGGGGCAGCTGGAACCTGGAACCGGGAACCTGAAGCCTGGAATCTGGCGACCAGGAACACCCGATCCCTGGATCCCTGCGACTTGTGATCCAAGTGCCCACTGCTACCGACCATGCTCCGATGGCTCAACAAATATTTCCCACACACGCCGGCGTCGTTACACGGACCAAGAGCATGGCACTACACAGGCCATACACGTATGTCGGGCAGGTTACACACAATGCAAATGCGTTCGCATAAGTCAGTTAAGGTAATGGCCGAAATAACACGAATCGAAGAGCCAATGCTCTTCATGAGCAGCTTTGATTCATATGCTTTTTCCAAGGGCATTTCTTTGGATTTAAATATAGTAGTTATAGCAAATTAAACTTACAAAATATCACAAATTTGAGACCTTATAATTATAGGCAAATATTTGAAATTTTGTTTAATAAACACAAATATTACTTATCATAATATTAGTAGTGTTAAGAAACCCGTGTGAATTCTGAAAAATGATTATTACGTATAATGAACTTTTATTTCCATGCCTTATAAAAGCATAAATTACATTTCTGCAATAAAGAAGGATGCACTTAACATGAAAACTCTTATACCCTTCTCCGTTGAATAGTGTGCTCAAAAGTGTTGGTAAATTTATTGTTGTCGGTCGAACCGCCGATTTGCGATCCATTCCGCAAAAGGCTACCGTATTTGATCTTGGCCTCCTGCCCCCCAAGACTGGAACCCCTAAACCCCCGCAATTACCCGGCACTGTCAATAAAAAAGAGGAGAATGGGGGAAATCTTCTGGAGCTGCGTGCCAGTGCCAGCTTGTCTGCCATTTGGGCAGGCCTTCCAAAAACGTCGCTGACATAACTGTACCAACCACCGAGTGGTGTTGCGTGGTGTGTGGTTGGTGGTTGGTGGCTGGTGGTTTCGGTGGTTTTGGCCGGCGGTTTTCGAGAACCACTGCTCCGGCAGCCCCAGATTTCGGCGAACGTCGCTGTTTTTGGCATCAAACACATGTCGAGGCACATGAAAGGATCGCGGACCTGGAATCTGAAGCTGAATCTGAATCTGAATCGGTATCTGAATCTAGGGGAGTAGATATATGGTCGGATCGGGTCTAAGGCTTTGCATGTTTGGCGTTTCAATGCGCATTAATTTTGCATAGCCGGTCGTTGTTGTCGACACGAATGGCTATGAAAGGTTAATAAATCAAATGCATATGCATGGGACAGCCGGCTGCACCTGAGATCCTGGCATGCGAGTCTATACTTCTTTTTCTTTTTTTTTGATTTTGTTTTTTTTTTTATTTTTTCCTGGCCGCTTTATGCGTTTATAATTTCCTCAATGCCCGTTTATGGCCAATCCAGGGGCAATCAAAATCAGCGCCTTTTGTGACCGAGCCGCATTAACACCAAATTACGTTTCGATTTAATGGCGAAAAGGAAATTGGGTCATCTTTGCATCTACATAGGCCGCAGCAATTTAGTTTACGATTCCTCTGGGCCGCCTTGAATGAGTTATAAACCACGTTACCTGCCACTTGGGTGCACTTAATCTGCGTTTTACGACCCAGTTGGACAGCGACTGCCGGCTTTGTTACACCGATCACGTACTGGGATTAATCACTAAATTAATTGAAACAATTTCCCAGCACGGCCGACAACACAGCGCCACAAATTAATCAGGCGCTGCTGATCGACTTGATCATGATCAGTGATCACCGATCACCGATCTCCGATCACCGATGATCACCCAGTTTCGCTCGGTGTTGATCGCCATGTTCGTGGCTCGTACGTGTCTGGCATTTGAAGAAGGCCAACTGAGCCAAATGAGTTGTCCAACGATCTAACACATGTCGCTCAGCTCATCAGCCGGCGATCAATGGGGG